GGGGAGTGGGTGGGAGAGGAGAAGAAGGAATTAATTTCAAAACTACTTTGCAAGTTGCACTTCATAGCTTGTCTCTTCCATCAGTCTTCTGCTAAACTGCTCATCTTGGGGCTTGTTTGGATGGGGGGATGTACTGCATAGTAAGCTAGGTGCCTGATTTTCAAAGCAGGCGTTATGGGACACCTCCTAGGAGGGAACTGGAAAAAGGAGAAAGCAAAAGCTCGTGCATCGCTCCGCTGAGGTGCAAAGCAGCAGTACGTTACCTCCTCACTCATCACCAGGTGCCTGTAGAGACATCTCCGGTGTGAACAACCTGCAGGAACCAAAAAGCTCTGGTATGTAGTCATGTGTGTCTATCACCAACACAAGGAGTGACCATGGACTGGCAGGTGAGTTAGTTCCCACTTGGAATATCTCTTGGATTGCAAACTTTTCCAGCATGCCCCCATGCTCGCTGGCTGGGCCTCCTTGGTGAAAGTGCAGTAGGAATTTCCAAAGTGTGGATCTGCCTGCACAGATCTGCACGGAGAGCAGATGAAACACCTCGCAGTAGGCAGCTGCTGTGGGTGTTCTTCTCAACTGAGAAATGATTGGGAAACACTTGCTACTCTTTTTCTCAGGTGCTGCAGAGAGGATTTGTTTTGTAAATGGTGAAACTGTTAATTGCATCGACTTTAATAAGACTGAGCTGAAAAGGTGTTAACAAGTTTTGTTGTGCTGTGCTGGCTAGAAGCCACTGTGCAGAGCCTGGGAGAAGGCAGCAAGGCTGCTCTGAGCAAAAACAGAGGGCAGAAAGCCTAGACACTCGTGTAGCCAAAGATCCAGAGTAACATGGTGAGTTTTGTAGGGTGGATTTAGCTTGAACTGTCGTGCGGGTCGGTGGATTCCCATTTTGACAAGGAAGCTGGACTGGAGCATCCTCCTCGCGGCACAGCAGTGAGGGCCCAAGGTGGAGGCCTTCTTCCCAAGGCTTGGGTTAAGTGGAGTTTCTGCACTCACTCATGGCAGTATCCGTGTTTAGCAGCTTGGAGAATCTGTTGGGGTTAAGGGAGCTAGCTTTAAGCACCTCAGTTAAAAGCCATAGCTTCATGTTGGCGCTGTGGTTTCCACATTCCTACCTTGTCAAAAAATCTTTTCTACGCACTCAGGCAAGCCAAGCATCCCCAATTCCCCCCAAATCCCCGCCAACAAATCCCGCAGAAGGCCTCGCGCTTCCATCCTCCACGGCGGAGCTGGCGTTAGCAGGGGCTGATTAAGGCCCTTTAACTTTGTCATGCTAAGGGGCTGGTTTTGCAAGTCGAAAAGGACCTGTGACTTGTTTTCTAAGACTTTAGGGAATTGCTGGCCCTCGCTGGTTTCACGGCAGCAGATGCAGCGTGACCGGGGATCTACGCTGCATATGAAAAGGTCGCTCGCCCCGCTCAAGAGGGGAGATGCTAACACTTGTCAGCTTGAGTGATGGAGACTCGCCGCTTTGAGAGCCATAATATTCATGTCAGAGAATTGCCAAGCCCAGGCGGAAGTGCGGAAGATGGATAGCCCGGGGATATATTCCTGACACTTTAATACAGGGGGAGGATACAGCACAAACGTCTCATATAGAATGATAATCCCTGAAAGGGCACTGCCAGCATAAATTGAAGGTAATCCACAAGGCAAAGGGTTTAACAACCCGAGGGAGGCCGGGCCTGGTGAGCTGGGGCTGCTGGTGAAGCACCGCTCTGCTTTCCAAGGAGGGCTCTGGCACTGCCGGCGGGAAGGACAGGATCCCTCCGCAATCCATGGCGCTGCGGCCAGCGGGACGGGATGGCTGGGGCAGCATGCAAGGCTCTTGGGTGGCAACACGTGGAACGGGTGGGAGTTTTCCCGGATTAAATCCGGAGAACCGGCAAAGCTTCCTAGCTTAGCCCCGGTTATTGCTGTGAAAATCTGCATAGGATGTCGGCTAGGAAGGTGGCGATAAGGTAGCGTGGAAGGAGCTGCAATGTCAGGCTAATCCAGCCCCTGCCACAGAGCTTACGGAATACGCTCCTCTTGCCGTGGAGATAGATATATCCGTGTTAACAGCCCGACTGGCAACGTCTGATCAAATTTAGCGGTGCCGCTCTGGGACTGTCCAAGCTGTTCAGGCCCCCGGATGCTCCCAGCCCCTTTCCAAGGTGCCCAGCTCTGCCTTCCCCAGTTACCCCTTTGCCCATGCTGCAAGGAAAACCCCGGAGGAGCAGGCACTGGGCTTTTGCTACATGTTGCTCATGAGTTCAGGATTCAGAGTTTATATTTTTTGTTGTAATTGGAACCATTGCCATCCTTGGACAGCAGTCAGCATCTCCTGAGAGCATTTTAAGGCCCATTTATGCTTTACAGCAAGCATGAAATGATTTACAGCTGGTTGGGATTAGTGTCCCAAATTCGAGTAGACTTCGGCTAATCACAAGTAAATACATTCAGGTTTAAAGACACCATCAGGCTCTTTGAACACTCCTCCCTGTCTGCAGCTGGAGAAGGAGTCTTTGCAAACCAGCAGGTGAGAGCCTTTCTTTGCAAGGTATGTCATTATTTATTTGAAAATTGACATACAGAATTTTACTGTCTAAGTAAAATTGCCCCCAAAGCACGATGAGCCCCCCAGCTCGTGTCCTGCGGGCAGCCTCACGCGCCGCTGCTCCGTGCTGCCCCGCGCACGTGCCGTTATTTGGGAACATGAGGAATAGCACTCGGGGGTGCAGCAGCTCCCGACAGAGCAGTGATGGATTGGGATGATCCCAAGTTTCTATTGTTTTGGAGGCAGCATAGGGAGAATTGATGACTCTTGTATCCAAGCAACAAGGGGAGGGAGGGAGAGCAGGATCCGCAGGGCTGCGGCATCGCTGTCAAGGTGCAGCCCTAAGTAATAGAGTTGTCTGTGGTATTTATTCAGGCCTCAGTGTTATCTCTGCAAGCTATACAAATTTCCAGCCTCTGTTTATCATGAGATGGCACTTAACTTTCTCCTGCATTTGCTTCTATTTGCATTCACATCTTGTTTGTTTGTTTCTTTCTCTGGCGTAAGATTGCTCATGCCCTTAGGTAGTCCGGATGCCAAAAACATGACTGCGTTTGAAAAAGCAATTGGACAAATTCAAGGAAGAGCTGATCCTCTTCAGCACTTAAAGGCAATGAAGTGGGTGCAACTGCAGGCTTGGTGAGCCCCTAACCGAGGCTGCAGTCTCTACCCCTGCACATCCACTCTGCACGGAGCGGTCTTGGGTCTGGTATGTGGCAACAACCACTGTGGGCACTTGCAAACTCAGTATGTCCCATTTTCTGCGGGGATATTAGCTTGGAAAACGCCGCAGAGACAAGCGTGAGCTTTGGCCCTGTGCTCTGTGTGCAGCTGCAGCCCGTGCGGTCCCCGCAGCTCCCGGTCACTTTATTGTCCCTGTGTGTGCACGCAGTGAGCCTGTTTAGATACATGTTTGTGACTTGGCCTGGGGAAATAACCCGTCCTGAAGGATGTGAGGTTACAAGAGCAGGAGAGCTAGACAAGTGCTGTGACCATGGGCAGTGGACGAGGCCCAGGTGAGCGGAGCAGGCGCTCGGGTAGGCGAGCCGGCCAGCAGGCCTTTAAATGCAAGAGAGGGACTTTCTTTTTGCTGTTTTGTATCAGTATTTCCAGTTCTGGATGCATTTTGGTTGCAAACGAATGTTACCAGGCAGCACCAAGCAGAAAGGCTTGGGCCTGTTGGATACGAAACCTTTGGAAATGGCTCCTCTGGAGGTAGCCCAGGACCACGGGCGCTCTAGCCCGGCCCTTTCAGCTCTGCCTTTGCACACAGTGGTTTATGCAAGGAGCAACGGGGATGCCAAGGTGCAACAGGTGTTGCCAGCGTGTCCCACCCGCACCACCAACACAGAGCTCTTGGGTTTGGATTTTTTCCTGCTTCTCTCTCCTCCTCCCCTTGGCAAGCTGCAAACCCAGCAGAAAGGTGCCGTGCTCTGCTATCCTCGGCATTGAGAAAGGTTCCTGTAACAGCGATGGGTGCTGAAGAAAACCCTCTGGGGTTTAATACCAGAGCCTACTTATTTAAGCCTCCCCACCAAGTGGTCTTGCTGACTTCAGTGACTCTTGGGCTAATGATAAGGACTCTTAGGGAAGTGCTGTGTCTTACCCAGGAACAGGACATTTTTTACGCTGGAAGTTCTCCCAGCATTTTATTCCGCAGGCCAGTTATTTTAATTAAGCTTTTTTATTGCAAAATATGGTGCAAAATCAAAATCTTCAGGCATACCATCAAAATAGAGAGAGAAAACAGATTACACTGAGCAATAACTTAAGTTATTGTTGGCTGGTTTCTGTGCATGAAGAACCCTGAATTCTTGTCTGCAGGTGTTTTAGAAGTACAGGAATTGTAAATGACTTAGTTTCATCTGGGACAAATGCAGGAAACTACTGTCATTTAGATGGAGGGGCTCTGGTACCAAGGCATAGAACATTTAAAAAGAGAGAGGAAAATTATAAAAATACTGTACAAAATCTCTCAATACTGTCTGTAACCCTACCAAAGGCCTCGGAGAGGACGAGAAACACCAAAACCCTGCAGTTGTCCTAACGCAAACCACCGTGAAGACCCTTCTCGTGTCAGAAAGTGCATCAGTTTTTCCTTCCGCCGGGAATATTTACAAGCGCGCAGGGCCGGACCCTGCCCCATGATGGGGCCGCATTGCTGGCACAGGGAGGCCGGGCTGTGTGAGACTCCCTGGCAGGATGAGGGAAAGGCTGGAAGTTGGGCCCTGGAAGGCCCCGACTCCCTGGAAGGACGAGGGAAATGTTAAGAAAACGCACGGACGCGGGAGCGACCGCGGTCCCTCTGGCGCCTCATGGCTGAGGCGCGATGGCCGCCTCCTCCCTGCCGCCCC